GCAATCCAGGTAGCGGGCAGTGGGCACAGTATGTATCAATGTCTTCAAGCAGGCTGATGCCTAGAGCAACTCTCCATATCAGGCTTAAACGCTGACATTTGAGACTGCTTCAGGAAGGTGATGGCATCCTAAGTAGGAACCATTCTAGAAAAGAAGAGCCAGTAGAGGTAGCTAAGGAGGCCCAGAAGAGGAACTGGAGCTCTTCCACAGGACCACAGGACTGTGGGCAGAACCTCCGTCCCTGGCCTCTGAGGGAGCTGAGAGTGGAGAGGCTTGGATGGAGGAAGCATGACTGGTCTCCCCTGAGGTTGCAGTGGAGAAGATGGAGTGAGAGGGGAGAGAAGGCATCAGTGTGCCCAGGGCCCATGGTGGAGCTGGGAAGGAGGACTCTGTGAGAAAGCCATTTCTATGTCCCGTACTGCTTAATTTAGGATTTTAAAGGCCACTGTCCCTTCCATCATGCCTTATCTCATCTAGGACTCCTAATAATCCCAGAAGTAGGAATTAAACATCTCAGTTTTACAGATAAGGAGAATAGGGTTCACAGGGGTTAAGAACACACTGGCAGAAGGACACTGGAAAGTCAGAACTGCAAAGCTGGCCATTGCCAAACTCTGTGCTCTTCCCACCAGGACGAACTGCCTTTACACAGTGGTGGTGTCACCTCCATCAGCTGGTGTCCTTGCTGCTGTATTTTATTATTATCATTTTAACCCATCTCTGACTCCCCTAGCGCCTTGTCACTTACCTAGAACATTTGCACCCATTGCTCCTTGCTGTTCTCAGGGACTCTATTAGGCAGACAGGACAACGCAGGGCCAAAGGCCCCCTCATAACACCTAAGAAAGCCCAAAGCTAGGAAGTGGCAGCAGGGGGCTCTGTCCCCTTTTCATCCCTGATTGTGTATGGCAGAAACTACATCAGATGGGTCAGACTCTAGCAGTTTGTAGTGATGAGCCATGTTGACCTGACAAAACTCTGAGAGTCCCAGGATAAGTGACATGTCTACAGATGGACATCTCTACAGGGTAGAGATACAGCCACCAAATCAGACTGATGGGTCAGAAGTGCTCTTAGCTGGGGTAAGTCACCCTTCTTTGGAGCAGGTCTCTCTTATCCCTTCTTGGGATTCCAGCTCTGGCTGGCTTGGATCACATCCCCCACATTGGTCACCTTACTGTCCCATTCCACATAAGAACATTCTAGTCCTGGAGTCCTGCTGGACATCAGATACCAGGACTGAATCTGTTGGTGTGCTTCCCCTCCACATCCTCTGTGGCCTCCAGCTGTCTCCTAATTCACCCACTGCCCCTGTGAATGGAAAGCAGATGGGCCCATTGTTCTTAGAGTTAACCTTGGTGTCTATACCCTGGACTATCCCTTCCTTCTAAACCCTGCTCAATACCTCTGCCTCCAGGGACTCAGGTACCCCCCGCCCAGACCCGTTTAATCACTATAGAAATGGCCTGGACCCCTGAATTTCTAAGTACTCTAAGAGCTTTCAATATGCACTCAGGGTCTTGAGAAAAACTGTCTTTGAAGAAGGGAGAACAGGACAAAATACAATAGAATTGAATAGCACAGCGCAGCACACAATAGAAAATAGCAGAATGCTTTGTGTATTGTAAGAGCAGGTAGGTATTTTTTCTTAAAAGTTTTGTTTCAATATGTGGTATGTAGATGGGTATGAGTAGACGTATTATCCTTGGTCGGGTAGAGATTTATTTCTTGCTGTAGATGATGATAATGTTTCAACATTTTTAGTTTTGGTTAACATTGCTCCAGTACCGTGCCTTAGCTAGTGATCCTCCCCCGGAGTCAAAACCCCTGCTGGTGAATTCTTCCCTCCCAGGCTCCTCTTCTGCATCCGGCTTCTCAGCCCCAGGCCCAGCCTTGCACAACCACTGCTGTTCACCAAAGTTTCCTGGGGCATCCAGATCTGATTTCCCCTTTGGCTCCTGGTCTGCCACCGCTTGTCACCACCTGCCTTTTCCTTCTGGGTCTTTCCCATCTCTCTCAATTCCCTCTGAAGGTTCCCGTCTCTTATCCTCCCCTCTTCTCTTTGCCAGCCCTGTCTTGCCAGTTGGTGGCTTCAGCTACCTCCCATATGAGACTCGAACTCATCTCCACATTTTCTCTCCCTGAGCCCCTCTGTGCAGTTCACTAGCTGTGTGCTGGTCTCCAGGAAAGGGGACAGGGATGGGGCAAGGGTGACAATGACACTCACCTCACAGTTACAAGGTTTGTTTCGTCAATTTAAGCAGAGAGCAGATATCATCCCCATTTCACAGAGGAAATTGCTGCGACTGAGAGGGACTTTTCCATGGTCTCTTTCCTACTATGGGGAGAGTCCTAGGGTCCATGACCCCAAAGAATTATTCCCTTCACAGCACACTCCAAAACTTCGTGTGCAGCAGTAAAGACTTATCTGGTCTATTCATCTACACTGTCAACCGTAACCGTGGATCATTAAGAACGCTTTCAAAACAGTGATGTCTAGACTCCACCTCAAACTTAATGAGGAAGAATCTCCTGGGAGAGCTTTGAGTTTGTTTTAACATTATATTTTGAAGTAATTAAAGACAACACAGTATAGAAGATAGTTCTGTGCATCTTCTTCCCAGATTCTCCAATAGTAACATCTTTTAAATTCTTTTTTCTTTCTATGACTCTGAGGATCAAGCCTGGGGCCTTGTACAGGTTATGTAAATGCTCTACCAACGAGCTAAGCTAGAGCCTGCGGCCTGATGGTAACCTCTTACACATCATAGTTTATATCAAATCAGGGCATCGATGTTGCTGCAGTCCACAGAGTGTGCTCAGATCTCCCCAGTTACGAGGACACTCACTTGAGTCTATGCAGACAGCTGCATGCAGCGCCAACACCTGTTCCTTTGCTGCGCCTTTGCTGTCAAACTCACTGGGGCTTTGGCTTGTAAAGCTTTCTAGGAATATATTCCTGTTCATGCCACTCATGAATAACTACTGTGCCAACAAACTGCTCTGCCACACCCCCTTTCCCAGGATAATGCCCACATCACCTTGGCCGGAAGTTTGGAACCATCACTGGCCTGCCCTCTTTGGATCCATCCATCCATGGCAGATCCCAAAGATCTTCTTTCATAACATCCTCAGGCTTCTGTCTAACCTTCAGCTCTCACACACTATGTGGTTCCTGGCCTTGGGCCTCTTGTCTGTCTGTCCTTCTTCAGGAGCCTCATGACCCATGTCCTTTCTTCCAGAGACCCCTTCCCCAGCCAGAATTGTAAGGCACAGTCAAGTCTCTCCCATCCCTGACCACCTATTCTTCTTACCAAAATAGTTTGATGATTACCAGCATCAACAAAATAAAGTCTAAATCTTTAAATTCACATTAAGAAATCCTCTGTATCTGACTCATTTTCCTCATCTAAGTTTCTCAAGTACCAGCATCAGCATCTCCTTGCTTTCCATATGGATAAAGTCAAATGGCATCTTTGTGCTGCTCACTGTGGGAAAGTGACAAGTTCCAAGATAGCTTCCTCCTGTGTCTCAGTGTCTCCTTTAGTATACGAGGAAGTGGGGCGGAATGGGGCTTGGAGTGTCTTTTGCTTGGAAATGCGCTCATCCTTGGGAGGGTGGTTCACCACTACTCAGTTCCTCATACAAGTTGTGAGGCAGGCTGAGAAGTGGGACATGTGGGCTCTCTGGCTAACCACTAGGGAATGGGAGCTTCCTTGGCATGTTTTCACTGGGTTCAAACAAGGTGGTCACCAGCAGAGTTGGAAGCTGGGCTCCTTCCCGCATGACAGTCACCTTGAGAAAGATGCTGCCTACTTGCTGACATCTTTAATGCCTTTTCCTTCCTTTGTGTTGGAACAATGAGAGGCAAGTGATGTGATTCACGAGCATCGCCCTTCGGGAAACTCTCAAATCCCCCCACAGCTCTGCTTCGGCAGTTCTACCACATGACGAGAAAATGAAAAGGAAAAATCTCTTATTGAGATGAAATGCATTTCAATTATCTGGTATGATTCAGCTTTAATTGATAACAAATCACAAATTGCCCATCTCATTACAACAGCTGACTCACTGGGAAATTTACTACCTACACTGGAGAATGTTCAGAAGACAATGCAAACTCAGAGACTGTGATCCCGTGATGGGGAGCCACTGTGACCCAACAGATGATTTTTTTTTTAAAGTCAAGCATTATCATCAGCACAGCCATAGATGTGGCCCTATTGAGAGTACTGGTCTCTAAACTGCCTGCATACCTGAGCTTTAAATCTGGAGAATTCTGGGAGTAGAGAAAGGGGAATAAGAGGCTGTGGACTGTGCATCAAAGGGCAGAGGTAGTTGGAGAAAGAGGCAAAGCAAAGAGGCCAACAAGGCATTTGCAGGCTGTTTGGGCCTTTCTTGGGACAGAACAGGGGATCCAGCAATTCAATAAAGAGATTCTGTAGCTCTGTTGCTGTCACTGGGTTCATATCTACCACCATCCCCAACATCAGCAATACCATGGCCTCTACCAGAAGCAGACCATCCTCACTCCTGTTGGTACAACTACAATAATGAACAATTCTGCAGGTGCAGATAAGGAACACCACCAATGAAATGATGAAAGAAAGTGTCTCTGTGTGAGAGGTGGGGTGGACTGCAGCTCATGACATACAGTCGTCTTGAATGTGTTTCGAGAAACATTCATTAGTGCTGTGTGGCCTGATGGTATGCACAGTATGAAATGCATTCTTATCATATTGCATTGGAAAGTTACAAAACACACACACACACACACAGAGAGAGAGAGAGAGAGAGAGAGAGAGAGAGAGAGAGAATGAATCAGCCACTAAAGACCAGGTCTCTCTGGGAAGCACAAGAACCTTTCATGCAATGACCACCATGAATCTGCCTCTGAGGTAACACCTCAGAGATGGAACAGCCACTAAGCACCTTGAGAAATGAGACCCCAAAGCTAGACCTTCTATTTGGCCTTTACAGGCCCCCAGCCGGACACTCACTGTTGCTGCTGTTGTCGTCCACCAGGATGATCTCCTTGAGCAGGTGTGGTGGTGTGCGCTCCATGGCCGAGTGGATGGAGCGCAGCAGCACTGAGAGAGCTTCGTTGACGAAGATGAACACGATGCTCACCTCCGGCAGGCTGTCGGGGAATGACAGGTTGCGACATCTGGAAAGAAGAGTGGCCAAGCTCTTGGACCTGCTGGCGACTCCCCTGGAGTCACCCCAGTGAGGGCCCACCTCCCCGAACTTCCTTCAGCCTTGCTGGAGGGTTCAGGAGTCCAGATTCTCCCCAGGGCCTCATCTTTGGTATGCTGAAGATGGGCCCTACAGGACAAGCCAAGAAGTCCACAGTTCCTGAAAGTTTGCACATGTGGGTGTGGATGGGTCATTACAGAGTGGGACCTGAGCACCTAGTGCAGGGCTTGTAAAACTTCTTCTATTTGTAACCCCTTTTCACCCAAAAAATTTTTAAGTGACCCAGAATATATAGGTATATAAAATAGGCATTGAAATAAAACATGTAGTGATAAATCATAAAGAAATCTATTTAAAAATAATTTTTTGGTACCATATACTTTTATATTAAAGATAAAAACTAAATTTGCATATGAATGAGGCAGATTCCTTGTTTCTTCAGCACAATACAATCCAAAGGCATGTTATATTCACATGTGAGGGATTAGGGTAGGACCACACTAAAAGTTTTGCTTTCTGTAGTTAAGCCATTGTGTTTCTATAAGAGGAGAAAACTTTGTATGGACAGTAAAACACTGCAGTCATAAACTACAGTAGTCTTGAATGTGTTTCAGGGAACATTTTGTTCGTGTTCTGTGGCCTGATGGCATACACAGGGCCAAGGGCACATGTTGTCTGTTCAGAGGTGAGGCTGTGGTGAAATCACATGAATCAACATAAGTGAGGGCTGGCAGAAACACATCGATCCATCACATGCTTGATTTTTTAATGAATATATTGTTGTGCATTCAGAACTTTTACTGTTGTCAGATTCTTTACATCCCCCACACGAGTAAGTGGCTCTGTGTGGAACTGTGATCCACACATTAAGAGGGTTTGACTTAGCACAGCATGTAGCCTTTGACTTAGCACAGCACATAGCCAATGGAAGATTCTCCTGGAACATTTTCTGGAAAGGCAGCTCAACATTTCTAAACCAATATTTGAAAAATGCAGCCAAAGGAAGTCCTTAGAATTCCCAATGGCAACGCCCAGGGGAGGTCAGACCTTAAGTGGCTATTCTCAGGAGGGAGCTGTGACTCTTCCCAGAGGCATATCTCTGCTAAAACCACTCCCTTCACTCCAGTGGGAGTTCCTCATACCCTATTCCTGCAGAGATCCAAGAGAAGGTAGAGTCAGAGTCTCAACATACAGGAGAGATGGAAGGACCAAGTTCACTGTCTCCCTACTCAAGGGCTACACCAGGAGTTAACCACCAGGGTAGAAATCCAGCCGTGATCTTCTGACATCTGCACCAGTGCTCCTCCTTAAGGAAGAAATCACTGTGAGAGAGGCTGGCCCTGACTGGCCCATTTCTCCCAGCTTCCTGAAACCATTAAGAGAGGCCATTATCTGACTGACTAGAAGTGTGTCACTCCACATAGGAAGAGAAACACACAGCCCCGAAAACAAATCCCACAAGAGGCCAGACAAGAAGGGCGTGCTTCCAATGGTGATTCTTTTGCCCCAAAGAGCAGCCTTGTGGGCAGGAACCCCTTGCTGGTACCCTTCCCTGACAAAAGAGAAGCTGTTCAGTACTAAGCCTCACCTTGAAGACAGCTGAATGAAAAGAGAGGGCCCTGAGCTCGGAGAGGAAGGTGCCCATACCCTCTACCTGGCACCAAAGGCTGCAGGGCTCTAGGGCTGGTGACTACATTCTGTTCCATTGTTCCAAAGCAAGGTGCGGCCAAGTTAGAACACGTGATAATGAGGGTAGCAGGCAGAGCTTCTGTTCGTGGTAATTAAAGTGCTGCAGGATAGGAATGGGCCTGCTCTTCCTAATGAGGAAGGCTGCAGGATAACCAGATTGAGCAATTTGGAGAAATCACCATGGGGTCCCAGCCTGCTTAAGAGCAGGAGATTAATAAACTAAAATCACCGTCTCTATGGTTACCAGAAATTTACAGAAACTTCTCCCATTCTATTTTCAGCTCTCCTTCTTGCTCACCAAAGGGAGGTGGGGGAAGTGAATGAGTTGGGCCTTTCCCCAAATCTACTTCCCACTTGCCATTTTAATAAAACAATCAAGTTAACAACATAGACCGTGTTCATTCTTGCACTTAATGGAATAAGTGTGTACTGAGCTTCTGACAGCTGGCAGGTGTGATGCTAGGTGCTGAGCACATAACAGAAAACAGACAAAGTCCTTGTCCTCATGGGGCTTACCCTTTCACAAGAGAAACCGACACAGAAGCAGGCGCTATGAAACAAAGCGGTGTGGGATACAAGAACAGCCACGATGCCTGGGCAGCTGTTCCAGGAAGTGGCCAAGTAGAGACCTTGGCCACCATGAAGAGGGAAGATCTGACCAGATTTTAAACATTGTGCCCAAGTGAAGAATGCAACGATCCCAGGGGCCAAGGGGACAGAGTGGTGGCTGGAGAGGAGGCAACCAGCTCACCTAACCACAGTGAAGGGAAGACAGCAGCGGGGGCTAAAGGGAGGGACATCAGTGAAAAGCCAACACTGGGACGACATCTTCGATCATCATACCCTTACACCCTTTCTAAAACTTTTTTTTTTCTACAGTGAATGCAATTTTAATAATAGTGGTGAAGAAGTTGGTGGCAGATAGCCAAGTGATTCTGCTGACTAGAGCTTATTTATGGTGGGCAACCAAGACTAGCAGCTGGGCTTTCCCTGGGCATGGAAACAGGAGAAAACTGACACACAAACAACTTGCTAAGTGCATGTTAAACGGAGTGCCACACATGGTCAAAGAGAACATGGGTCTTGTTCTTTATCAAGGTCGGTACAATGGACAGCTCCCAATAAGGGAGTCTATGGTAAAAGAGCAAGTTCACTGTCCTCTCTGGTAAATCTGGGGAGCAATGAAGCCCACAGTGTAGACCTCCATACCTCACCCAGGGCTGCTTGTGAGCTGAGCTCCCAGGTTCTCACTTCTGCCTCTTTATGTTGTTTTTCAAGGAGAGGGGTTAACTACCTTCCCCAGTCTCCCCCTTTCTAAGAAGGTCCATTTAAAAATTTCCCTGTCACAAACAGTCATAGTGGTCCCTGTAAACTTGTCTCCTCCTGATCATTATTTTCACATGAAAGGTTTCTGAACAGAAGGTTTTCATATGAAAACTCTTTTGTACACAACAGAACCCTAATATACTGCATCATATCCATATGTATTTATTATCTCTCCCTATGCTCCAATGAATGAAACTCGCTAAGAGCAAGGACTTTGCTTTTACAGCTCTGATATCTTTCCACTATCAACGAGGGCTTGGTACACAGTAGATGGACAGTGATTTGGGGGGGCATGAAATGAAGCTAGCAGGTTTATTTTGTGTAGCGCCTACACTATAGGATGAAAAAATTATCTGAAAGAATTTTCTGTGCAAACATAAGGTTCTTTTACTGCAAGTGCAATGAACAGAAGCTTCTTCACTGCAAAAATGCCCTGCACACTTTGCCTGTCTTCCAACCAGCACCTCATCACCACCAAGCTTCACAAGATACACACCATGACTAAGCCAGGGGAAAACTCCTCTGGTTTGCCTGGACTTCTCCAAGTTTTAAAGTGCTGAATGCTTCATACATACAAGTCAGGATGGCTGGTCACCCTGGACCATGAACTTCTTGAGGGCAGGGACTAGCCTTGTTCACAGCCTCCTACTGCTGCCCAGAACAGTGCCTGGCAAACAGCAGGCATTCTGCTGACTTGTTGAATGATTTTTCTTTCAAATTCCCCTAACCATGCATACACAGCATATATATGTATGCAGTCATGGTTCTAATTTTCCCACCTGCCATTGAAGAAGAGCTTGCATGACTGAGGGAGAAAGCAAAGGAGAAAAGGAACATGTCAAACGATGTGTGGACACTTAGGGTCTGGACAGATGGCTGAGGGGTTAAGAGCACTTTTTGATCTTGCAGAGGACCTGGGTTCAGTTCCCAGCACCCACATGGAGGCTAACAATGGTCCATAACTCTAGTTCCAGGGGATCCGATGTCCTTTTTCTGATCTCCATGGGCACTGCACGATATTGGTGTGCTTACACACCTGCAGGCAATACACTCATAGAGACAAAATAAAAATAAAAAATAGTTTTTAAAAAGGATGTGTGAACACTCATTGGTCATGGCCTTAATTGTCACTGCAGGACACTGAACTTGGGACAGATGGCTTTGTGCCACAGCCAGAGCCCTGCAATAGAAACATACTTCCAAGAACTGTCACAGAAAAGGATCATAAGGGATGCAAGCTCTGCCCTACAATACAGCGGGCTTCTCCCACCAGCTCAGTACTCATCTTGTTGACAGCCTCTCACATGTGCACTGCTGAGCTGATCTCATCTTGTGCTTTGACTATGAAACGACCCCATATATTCATGTGTTGAATGCTTGGTCACCAGGAGTACACCTTTCCAGGCTCTGTTTAGTCTTCCTCACACTCTGCTTCCTGTCCATCATGAGGGGGGAACAGTTGCTCCTTCCCCATCCTCCTGTCGCCATGTTCTTCACCATGGAGCCATGTGGCCATGGGTTAAACCCTCTGAAACAATCCTTCCCCACTTGGGTATTTTCTGTCAGGTGTTTTGGTTATAGGCATATAAAAAAGTAACCAATACACCTAGCACCTGGGTCCTCCAGGATGAGGCAACCATGCCTTCTGGTTCACACCTGCACCCTTCCAGGATTCTTCCCCAGAGTATTCCTCTTAGCTTTTGTTGCTGTGACAAATACCTGAGAGAAGTCAAGTTGAAGTGAGAAAAAGATTATTTTGGCTCATGGTTTCTAAAGTTTCAGTCTATGGTCATCCAGTCCGATTGCTTTAGACCTGTTACAGCACAGAACACCATGGTAGAGGAAAGCTGCTTACTTCATGGTGGACAAGAAGCAAAGAGAGACAAGACAGGGTCCCAATATCTCCTTCAAAGCCATATCGTCAATAACTTGACTACTTTCTATTAGGTCCTTTCT